TATGAGGGGTTGGATTACGGTTGAGATAGAGGCTGATTTTGTTATTTTCATGTAATCCTATTCCAGTCAGCGGTAGCAGTGGGAGAGGAAGGTATCCTTCAGGAAGAGGTAGCTTCAGAAATGAGAGCTTTAGGGGCCGAGGGAAATTCAGCAGTGGCCGAGGTTATGGAAGAGGTGAATTCAGAAACCAGGGAGAGTTTTCTGGGCGGCCTAAGGGTTCAGCTGGACAGAAAGGAGACAGTTCTTTAGGCCAAAATGGAAGTGGACGAGGCAGCCGGCAAGGCGGGGGAAGGGCATAGTTCTCAACCATCAACCTAAGCACGATCATTGGTGAAGAGAAACTAGTTGATGGGTTTTTTTTTTTTTTTTCCCTCTTTTACTTTTTGTGGTTAGCAGGAAAGCAAGCAAAAGACCACAACATTTTTCCCTTGTTGAGGAAAGGGGACAATAATTTACCCTGTGGTTAAATAGGCGGAAGTTGAGGGTTCAGATTTGCATGTTGCAATCATTCAACGGTATATTAGTCATAAATTTATAATTAGGAGGCTTACTCGGCCCATACACGAGTGTTTTGGCAGACTCATGTTTTTTTTTTGCTATTTTCAAAATGAATATTATCTCTCTCTCTCTCTCTCTCTCTCTCTCAATCTCTTTTGCCATGTCATTTTCGTTTCCAGTTGTTTCCAAAATGTTTCTTTTTGTTTGGTTTCGTAGCCACGTAATTTCCTTCTTAAGACCACCTCTATGAACTCGGAAGATTTAATAGGGCAGATTGACAATGAACAAAAATATAAGCACATAAAAGATATCTTTACGTTTAATGTAAGCTATAAACTTTAGAGGGGTAGTTCGGCATTACGTGTGTGTGTGTTGTTTCTTGTGGGAACTCTGGTTGCCAAAAGTGATGATAATGAATGGAATATGAATCGTTGCGAATATGTTTGATGTGATAATGAATATTCCACTGAAAAATAAAACTTTTATTGCAAAAGTTGAAATGCCCTCCAAACTCTCTCTCCCATACCTTCCTTGTTCTTCTTGTCATTGCTGCTCCTTCTTGGCCATTTCCTTCAACCGATTCCATCAACATCACTTCCTTTCCAGTGTGCTTCCGCTCTCCCACGTTCTTCAATTATGCTTTCTATTTAGTCCGTCTGGTTTACCACTCATATCCTTATTATCTGTTACTTGTAGGAGTTTTTAACATACCAAGAAGAGTATTAAATATGCGTAATCCTTCACTTTTGTCCTTATTAAGTATAACATTAAATACTAATATATTTTTACTCACACATACCCTCTCTCTTCACCTTTATTATAATTCAACAGGACAGAATTGAAAATAAAACATTATAAAAAGTACAAGTGACAAATCAAAAAAGCCAAAATCTCTCCCTACAAGTAACAAATAATAAGCATAAGAGTGGTATTTTGGTGGTTCTCCTTTTAATTTGCTTCATTAAGTTTGTCTCAACAAACTTGATACTATTAAAATCAAAGCTTAGTCTCTTTAATACTACCTCCGATTCAAAATATAAAATAAACTTTCTTAAAAGGATTAGTTTTTTTTATAAGATAATATTCACTTTAGTTCAAACATCTAATGAGCTTGTTTCAATTTTACTCTTATATATTCTCTTTCCTCTTTAATTCATTTATTGCATCTTTTACTTATTCTCTTCATTAATAAGGGTATATTAGGAAAAACAAATATATGCCTTACATATTTATTGTTTTAAATTAATTTTAATTTATTTCTTGATAAACATAAATCGATAAAGTTCAACTTATATTTTGAACCGGAGGGAGCATATTTCAAACCAAAAGCACTAATGTTTCAGACAAAACAAATACAGAAGGTGATGAAAAATCAGGAAATAAATGATAAGGATTAAGAACAAAATATGTCAGGCAAAAAAAAAAAAGAACAAAATATGATTAAACGTATAGCGTTTATATTTTCCTATTTTATACTCTATATTTGTGTATTTAAGTGTCTTTAACAAATTTTTCAATATTTATTATCACTGAGCGACGTGTCTTCTTGATTTTTTTTTGGGGGGGGGGGTTAATTACCTCATGTTATTACATAATACTCCCCTGATCCTATTTATAAGTTATTTCCAACATGTTTCACATAGACTAAAGAAAATCTTAAACTATATTAACTCTTCATTAAAATATAACGACTTTTCAACTTTACCCCTATTTAATATACACACCTTTCAAAATAAATGACTATCAACACTATAATAAATAAAAGATAATATCGTATATTCATGATAAAAATTTAATAAAATGATTTATAAATAGGATCAAAATAAACTTTTTCTCTCTACCCTATAAATAAGACCAGAGGAGTAATGTTTTTGTTTACATCAGGAGCATTTAAACCTTTAACGATACATGACATTATCTGGCTCCCGTTATCATTTCAACTATGGTCAAGCGGTTAGTAATTAAAATTGCTCCAAATATTATAAAGGCCTCCCCTTGAGGATTGATAGCCTCGAATTAAGCCAAATAAAATAAAAGAGTAATTGATAAAACCAAAGTTACCCTATCTTTCCTCCAAACACCACCCCATAAATCTTAATATAGGCTGCTCATGGAGCCAAGCCTAAATCAGACCACACACCACACACTAGGTTAATACAATTTTTTTTAAAAAAATTATCTTAATTTTTATTTTTTGGTTTTAGTTCCCTAAATTTCTTTTCATTTAAAATATTGATGTCAATAATTTAATAACAACATAAATTAATTTGTTTTATGATGAATCAAAACCTAACTATCGTTTTGAAACTTGATGAACTAAAATCAAAATTTGTGTAAACTTAAAAGACCAAAATTATGTTAAGCCAAGGGAAATGCTTACTATAAGATGATCTTAAAGTAAAAAAAAATAGAGTTTAGTAATAAATACTATATTTGGTCCTAAATATATAATTTAGTTTCTAATATAAATTATATTACAAACTAGATCTTATACTTTAATATCTGATAACATCTGAACCAGGTTTTCCAGATTTAAGGCTGCATATGCAAAATACAGTTTTTGAATAATATTTCTTCTAGAAGTAGAAGCATTGTAACAATTTCATGGACACGTGTGTACTGAAATGGAGAAGAGGAAAATGAACACCGATTATTTTCATTGGGAAGCCAGTTTGGTGTCATTTGCCTCTTTAATGCTGCAGATGCCAAACTTCTATATAATCCAAATCTCCTCTTTTCTGTGATGCACATTCATATTGTATTTAAATTCATTCCTTTTTTTTTAATTATAATCAATTTAAGTTAGTTATTTAAATAAACATATTAACACTAGATTCAAATTCGAAATATCATCAAAATATAATAGGAAGTAACTAAGACAATTTGCCATTGATAAATTTTAATGGACAACATAGTCGTCAGGACAACTTGCTATTGATAATTTTTTAAATTCATTCAACTATTTTCAATTTTCAACATATATCTATTTGATTATGACCTGTCTTGTTATGTTGACAATAATTTCTTACACCAACTTTATGACTTTTAATACTCCTCCAATCCTTAATATAAAACCCATTTAACTAATTTGATTAGATTAAGGAAGTTAGGTAAGTTAGTTAATTATAAGAAAAGTGACACATTTTCTTAAAACACTATAATCATCTTTTTTAATACCCTTCTCCCTCTTCTATTTGATTATGGTTGAGGGAGTATCTATAAGGGTAATTTAGAGAAAATTGATAAATATGAGAAATGGATCTTATATTTAGGACCAAACTAACTTAAGAATTGGGTCCTATATTAAGGACCGGAGGAGTATATATATATGATATTTTTTAAATGATACTCCTCCGGTCCTTAATATAGGACCCAATTATTGAGTTGGTTTTGGTCCTAAATATAAGACCAATTTATCATATTTTTTAATTTTCTCTAAATTACCCCTATGGATACTCTCTCAATCATAATCAAGTAAAAGAGGGAGAGAGGGTATTAAAAAAGATGATTATGGTGTTTTAGGAAAAACATGTCATATTTCTTATAATTAACTACCTTACCTAACTTCCTTAATCTAATCAAATTAGTTAAATGGGTCTTATATTAAGGACCAAAAGAGTATTTTTTATAGTATGAAAAGTGAAAGAATATCATGAGTCAGTCATGCTAGTTTTAGCTTTGATAATTTTTCCATGATAGCATTTAGTATATTCTTGATGCTTTTGTTTACTTTGATGAGATCTCACATTATAATATAGAGATTGTAAGAGGTGAGAAAAGCAATATATGAAACACTTTTAGGATATTTTCTTAAAATGTTAACTGAATAATTTAATGAAGATATCTGTACCATTTTTATTTGATGGTAAATTTGGATGCAAAATAAGATGCTTCAGTTTGGTCAACATGATTCACCATCGATGACAAAAACTTAACATGTTACAAATAAGTAAATTAAACTAATTATACTCAGAATCAAAATAAAAACGCTAATTATAGATAACTATATTAATTTTTTTAAAACAAATAATAAGGTAAATAAATAATTTTTTATTTAAAAAAAAAAAAGAGAAAGAATATCAAAATGCACGCTGCATAATGAATTGAAGTGTAATCGGATTGTGAAGACGACGCGGCGAGTGAGCGATCCCGCCGGGGAAGTGGGAGAAGGATCCAAATGACATTTAAAGCAAAACAAACACTATCTGTCACTTTTTTTTCAAAACTGATTAGTACCCCAAACTTCTTTCGAAATTACATGACAGTCCCATGGCTCATGACGCAGCCAGGCTCATGAAACAAGTGTCCGACCACTGTTGCTTCGAGTTGCTCCTACTCGCAGCGCCGAGGCGAGAAGCTGGCAAGAGAGGTCGCGCCAGAGCAAAAGGGCTTTCTTATTCTTAATCTCTGGCGATTCAAACCTCTCTTTCTCTCTCTTCCCTCTGATCACCACGTGGAATTTTGGAAGTGCGTTGTCACACTGTTCACTATATACCAACAACATGCAGAAGAAAGCAACTGTGTATGATCTTCTCATTCAGGTCCACCCTTCTTTATCTCTATCTTTTTTCCTCTGCGTTTCTCCTTCGTTTCATTATCTTTCCTTTCTCTGGTGCCGCAGTTTTCATCGTAACAGCCCCCTGAGCTGGCCTGCATCCACAGTTTTGATTCTCTTTTTACTAGTATAAATATTTTGTTCGTAGAACTTAGGATTGCAACCAAATTTGAGCTTCTTCCCCTCTTTCCTCGTACATTTTCTCTGTATTTGATCGCCATTAACTCTTGGGGAAGTGGGTGTGGAGTTTTTTTTGTTTTTTGAAATGATTTTAAGGGGACAATCCAAATTCTTGTGTCTAACTTCTGTACATCTGTTTCTCGCAGGGAGCCGTTATTGTCAAAAAGTTGTCACCTTTCGCTTCGATTTCGATGGAGTCGGCAACCCAGGAAACTCGGGTGGAACAGATTGATTTCTTCAAGCGAGAAGGCAAAACTACTCCGCATTTTCTTCACCGATTCTTTCCCGAGAAGCCAGCCAACTCTGAGTCATCCCACAATGTGAAACAATTAAACCTTTCCCTCGATCTTTCTATGGATGGGTTCTATAGTCAAAATGCAGAAGAAGTGCCTTTGACGAGGTCGTCAACCATTCCTGGAGATCTCACCCTCATGGCTGATAATGGGGTTCGTTGGAATTCCTCTAATTCTTTGTATAGGTCCTCTTCCCTTCCCGTGGAGGCTGAGAGGGCTCTTCTGAGGTTTGGGGATTTGCAGACGATGAGAAGGGCTGAGACTGGGAGGAGATGGCTCCAAGAGCGGATGAGGAAAGCGGCGGAGGCTGCGGCGGCGAGAAAGTTTGGTGCGGCTGTTGGTGCTTCAAAGGTTCCTGCAACTTCTCCTGCCGCTGTCAAGCTCACGATACTGGAAAATCCTTCCGTGGCTTCATCAAAGCATGAAGGTAACTTCATTTTCTTTACTATGTTTCTGGTTTGATTGATTGGTAATCAAATTAAGTTTGACATTAGTCTTCTAATTATTGCCGAACACGCAAAATGAGAAGAAATGCTTCTGGAATGATAATATATATATATATATATATATATATATATATAAATGTGCCCCATCATCGCGGTAAGCTGACTGTATCATATATGGTGATGCCTTTTTTTTTTTTGTGGCTTAACATCCTTGTATACGTATATTTCCGAATTAGTTTTTTGTTCCTCCGCTGTCAGGGTTGATTAAGAATTAATTGCTTGACTGTTTTTTTGGCACAAAATTGCTTGGCTCTTAATACTTATGGTTTGAGTTGCAATTGAGTGGTCAAAGAATACGTCGATTTTTGTTTTTGAACGCTTTATATTCCTCTTCTTCTTTATGTCATTCTTCTTTCCTAAGTGAATTTTAGCTAATTTATGATCATTAAGTTTTTGCGCAACTATGTTCAAGTCGGATCCTTTTGATATTGGTGATGGTGAGTAGTGCTGAAAAGAGTTAAATAGGGAGAAAATAAATTTGATGAATTAAAATAGAATCTCTTGCTTCGCTCCGGAGGTATAGGGTGCATGAAAGCATTATTTATGTCGTTTTTCCGAGAATATTACTGTAAAAGATACCCGTTGCCACCGTGGATACTACTTAAACGTGACAAGGGATGTGTTGCAACATGCATGATACGATGAATCTAAAGGTGACAGGTCATCGACAAAGCATCTACTAGTAAGTCTCATAAGTGTGTTGTGTAAGATTGATTGTATGTGGCAGCATGACAACTAAAGAAACGACAATGGAAAATATCACCAATTGATTGTAAAGCCTACTACCCAACTCCAATCTAAGCAATATATGTTTATAGAAGCTTCTCCCTGAGAGGAAAGAAGATCCATATCTTGTTAAGATAACATAAGAGGCATTGTAATGTATTTTTAATTACAAGCATGCTAATTAACTAATAAGCAAGTTTAGAAATTCTGTTAGATCTCAGAATTCTCTATCATTTTTCTGTGAGCAGTAATACAAGTAACAAGTCATTATAGGACCCATGAAGGTGAGTAGTTTAGTAGTTGTGAGAAAAAAGGACAGCAAGGTTTCAACCTCTTTGTCTGATGCTTCTTCTTGTCAAATATGTTTATGTTATTGACGTTGTCTGATGCTGTTCATTGCTTGATATGTTTGGACCAGCCTAGATTATCAATCGTTACCACTTAAAATGATCAGATTCACTGAATATGCATGTGTTTTTCTTTGCTGTTCCTTTATCAAGCCTCCATTATATTGGACCTTCCTCCCCGGTTCTCCTCACCTCATAAGGATACATTAAAATTTATATATATATATATATATATATATATATGCACAGCTTTTTAATCTCTCTCTGGATCTCATGTCAATAATTTTCATATTGTTTGGCTTTTCCTTTATAAACTCAATGTTTGGCTGTCCTGTCTTCATCTATTAGAGCTGAAATAAAAACAAGTGGGCAAGGGTTCAAGTCTAATTTCAAACAATGTGTCTGGGAAACAAATTATGTTCTCCACTTAGTCCAGATAAATGTTCGAGCTTTACAAGGTGGTCTGTCAGTTTTTGCTGGTAGTAGCATCACCATCGGCTGGCTACATGCTCGCTTAAGCCAATGCAGTCTCATGGTGGTGTCACTAAATTACAGGCTTAGCCCAAACACAACCAATCTCACGCCAACAGGACTACTGGAATTTGGACAGACATCACTGTTATAGTTGTTAGAAGACAATTGTCATGGATGCTGCAGGCTTATATCTTAGCACTGAATACGTATCTCTGAATCATTTATCTATAATGATTTGAAACACGGCTTAATATTCATGACAGTAAAACTGGATAATAATTTTCCCATCTAGATTTGCAACTGGTCCAAGATTAATAAATTACGAATGCTTCTATGTGGTTCTATCTTGTGTTCTTCTACCTAATCATGTGGTATGTGGATAATATCTGATGATGTATAGCTGTAGTTAAATTATGACTTGCAGTGTTTCATTTAAAGACTATTTATTTGCTTGACTATAATAATTTGTAATTTTGTTTTTCTGGATGATAAGTAACTAAGACTTTCTTTTTGCCACAGTTCTTAATACTGTCACTCAACTGTTTTGTCATTTTATCATACTCATTTGAATCTGAACTTCTTTTGTTCTTTCTTTCTGTTCTAAAAGGCTTGTTCGTTAATGGTCCATATGGCATGCCCTACACAGGCCAGAGAGGTTTGGCTGGAGTTGGGGCCAATCCCAACTTCCAGACATCATCCAACAGGGGCAAAGAGATCATGTTTTATCCGAAACCAATGGCTAGGGTTTTGCCACCAAGGCCTGCTGATACCAGACTGGAGAATCGACCGAAAAGGCCTAAGCTTAGGCCTTTGGAACCCTGCAGTCTTAGATATGAAGATTTGGCAGTCCTTAGCAAAATGCCGACTGTGACTACCACCGGAGATGGCCCCGGCGGGAAGAGAATACGGGGCTTTCTATATACTTATAGGGGAGGCCAAGTCAGCATCGTCTGTGTCTGCCATGGCAAGTTTCTGACTCCAGAGGAATTCGTGAGGCATGCTGGCGGCAAGGATGTGGCCAATCCCATGAAGCATATCACTGTCTGTTCCAACCCCTTTTAAGTTTCTTGGTCACTCACCCTTCTTGCGATGTACAGAGGAAACAAAAGTTATCTTACTTAGTTGTCCATAATGTCTGCTCCTTTAGGTGAAGGAAAACTCCAAATAAGATGGTTTTTCCTTCTCGTAAAAATTTATAATAATTCTCTTTTTCTAGATAATTGAAATTTCAATACTAGAATGGGTAAAACAGAAGACTTCATCTCGGAGAAGATAGCATTTCTGATGTAATGAAACTAATTAATACACCATGATTTTAGTATCTTTGTATTAGAGTTCAAAGTTGGGATAACATTAAAGTCGTTATAGCGAACCAATTTGTTTGCAGGATTTATTAGTTCATGGCATGCTAATGTGATTGCGTGCTGGTGTGGAAACTAATTTAGTTCCAATGTACATGTGCCTTTTCTCCCACAGTAAGTGGGAAACACCATTAAAATTTAGTAAAGTTGTTTCTAAACATGGTAAGCTGATGACTTGATGCACAACTAAAGTTTAGTAAATCACACAATTCATCCTCATTATGTTATGAGATGGCATTGAGTGATAAAATCACAGTGAATTAATGTTTATATACCTGTTTTGGGCTTTTAGCACACATAAAGTAATCTTGAACCACTTTATTTGCTCATG